CACATATCGAGTCCCAACAGCAACAGTGTAGGGATGAGCACGAAATACTGTAAATTAAATGCTGAATGGCTGTTCATGCAGGGAAAGAACATATCAATATTCGCATATTCATTCAAAAACATGAAAATTCTTAATGGAGTACCCTCATTTTTTATTGAATTCCTAAAAAACAATATTTATAATAAATTTTAATAATTTTTTCGAATTTTTTTTAAGCTTTATTCCGACCGATTCACCCGATTTTCGATCCAGATAGCCGATTCGTCGATCCGGATCTGTTTTTTGGAAGCCAGATCAAGATCACGGATCCGTTTTTTAAACTATTGATTTGAACCAATAGCTGTAATCCCCATTCTTTTTCAGGAGTCCAATCTTCTTGGAGATTCTTTCGAACTTTCCAAATCTAACCCCAGTCAAATCTAGAAACGGTTAATCTAACCCTGGTTAAACTCAACTCAACCCAATCCTAATTAATCGGAAACTCCTGATTGATCGGTAAACCCTTCCGCATCGAGCCAGATAAAGCTTTCTAGGGTTTCTTCTTTATATTCCGAGATCTTCTGCCTTCTTTTCAGATATCGTTTACCTTCTGGTAGTGGGTTGGAGTTTCGGAGTCCCTAGGGTTGGTGTTTCTCTGAGTTCATTGCTCTGAGGGTTCTCGAGCTTTGCGCTTTCTTTCTGGTTTTTCTTGAGAACTTCGTGTGTTTGCTTTGGTCCTGTTTGGAGGGAATTAGGGTTTTGGAGGGAATTAGGTTTATCAAGTAGGAAGAACTAGGGTTTTCTGGTTCGAGGGATTAGGGTTTTGGTGAAAGATTTGGTAGGATCATACATGGCTGCAATTCAACACGTTCAAGAAGCTCGCACCTCTTATTTCCTTGTTATTTGCTCCCCTTCAGTGTTTATTTAGCCCTTTGGTGAAGCCCTAGGGTTTTCGAGGCGGAGCTTCTTTCTTCTGCTATCTGTTTTGGGTTCGAGAAATCCTAGGGTCTTTAGTTCCAGAGCCTTCTCGTTCTCCTCTTTCTCTCTCTCTCTCTCTCTCTCTCTCTGTCTATTTATCTATCTTGCTTTTTGATTTCGGAGATTTTCTTGGTTAAAGAACCCTGGCGATTGTACAGTTACCCAAGTTTTCTCTCACATCTCTCTGCAATCTCTCGATCAGAGAGATGTCTAGCATAAAGTCTGATCCTCTGTACAATGACACGGAGCCATTTGTGGAGATTGATCCTTCAGGGAGATTTGGGCGTTACAATGATCTTCTAGGCTCTGGGGCTGTGAAGAAAGTTTACTGGGGTTTTGATCAAGAAGAAGGCATCGAAATCGCATGGAACCAGGTTCACCTAGGAAAGTTCTCTGGTGATGAACGAATGGTGAAGAGGCTTCAGTCTGAGGTCTGTTTATTGAGGTCTTTGGGGCATAAGAATATCATTACTCTCTATGCTGTGTGGTTGAATAGAAAGAACCATACCCTAAATTTCATTACAGAGGTCTGCACTTCTGGGAACTTGAGGGAATACAGGAAGAAGTACAAGAATGTGTCTCTCATGGCTTTGAAGAAATGGGCGAGGCAAATTCTAAGGGGTTTGGAGTATTTGCATAAGCATGAGCCTTGCATCATTCACAGGGATCTCAATTGTAGCAATGTCTTCATCAATGGCAATGTTGGTGAGGTTAGTTTTCAATTTCTTGTCTAGTCATTGTGTAATTTTTTTTTTTATTTCTTGTTTTGATGATTGTGTATTTTTCTCGATTTCTATTTTCTTTGGTTGGTTTAGTTTATGGATTATTTAGTTATGTACTTGCCTTGAATTATTATTAATTTTTTTTTTGCTTTTTATGGTGATTTCATTAGTTCTGGAATTTCTGGCTTAATCTTACATTGGTTAGTTACGATTTATGGTTTTTATAGTTTGGTTCGTGTGTCTTTTTTAGTAGGGGTTACTCGACTTCTTACTTAACCTTTTACTCTTTTGCTGTTCAATAATTTCCATTGCTTAACCTTATTCTCTTTTTCTGTTTTTTTTTATTGTTAGTTTTGCTGGCAGGTATTGCACACTTTTTTTTCTTGATTTTTGTAATTAATTATGAATTATGTTAATGTTCTATTTTCAGATTAAGTCTTTTTATGGTTAGGTTATTCTCCGAGTTCCTTGCTTAGTTGTACACTGTTTTTCTGAGTACTGTGTTTTTATGTTTCTCTTTTATGCACTGATTACTTTTCATATAATAAGATATCTTTGTATTCTTTTTGTCAAAATTAACTTTAGTGATTGACTATCACTGGTATGCCTGACCTTTGCAATGGTTATCTTCCTGTTTTGTGGATGCCAAATAAAACAGGTATCTTATCAATCTACTACCCAATTTAGTTGTTATGAAAATGATTAAAATTTGTAGGAGGTGCCAAGTGCTCAGCAGTCAATTTTTTGAATTTCAATCCAAAATATAGTTGCTATCGGGTTCCTCTTATCGGTTTCAGAGCCTGGTTCTTGTGACAATGATGTTTTCTCGAGTTACGCAATAATATATTTCAGTTACCAAAACAAAATTCTAGTAGTACCCTAAATTTTGAGAAAATTAATGGTCTCAAGAACCCTAATAGATTGCTTGGGAACTACATTTAAGTACTTTCTAAGGTGTTGGACAAATCTCTTGGGGAGGTTCTGAAACAGGGGAATCAAGACTTGACAGGGTTGTTCTGGTAACCTAGTGAGTAAAATTTTGAAGCTTCAATATCCATGGAACTTGGATGGTATTCTCTAACCAAAGCTTTGCTTCAAAGGGTTTTTTGGATGTAGTGTATGGGTTTGAGTTGGCCTTTTTAACATGCTTTTTGTTAAGGATCTCTTTTTCCAGTTCCTTTTCCTTGCAGGTTTACATAGGTCTGAAACTTCAATCTCTGTAAATCTCTCATTCCTATGTAATTTATAATACCACGCATGAAGACTACGATAGCTGATCTTGCTTCCCTCTGTTTTGTCTTTTCCTTTTGTCCTTTTTTACTGGTTTTTGCTCCTGCGTAACCCAGAAATGGATGCGCAGGTGAAAATAGGAGACCTTGGCCTTGCTGCCATTGTTGGGCGTGACCATATTGCTCACTCCATACTTGGTACGCCTGAGTTCATGGCACCTGAGCTTTATGAAGAGGACTACACAGAGATGGTTGATATATACTCCTTTGGTATGTGTGTCTTGGAGATGGTCACCGTGGAAATCCCTTACAGTGAATGCGACAGTGTGGCCAAGATTTACAAGAGGGTTATCCATGGCATAAGGCCCTTGGCTTTGAGGAAGGTGAAAGACCCTGAAGTTCAAGCTTTTATCGAGAAGTGTTTGGCGAAACCTCGTGAGAGACCATCAGCCTCAGAGCTCCTCAAAGACCCATTTTTTGATAACTTGGAGGATCTGGTGTAAAGAGGTTTATTATTCTTAATTTTTCTTTTGCATTCTTTTGCTATTGTTTCACGGGAAGTTCTGGTCTCATTCTTTTGGCAAGTGTAAAAAGTGGTGGTATTTTTTTTGGTAGTACATAGTCATGATTCAATTAAGTGGGATGCCTCTAGATTAGTCTTTTTGTACCATTCCACTAATTTTGTAAAAAATCATGACTCCCTGATTTTGGTGACCACGTTTTTTATGTTTATATTGTATTTTATTTTCATTACATGAAGAGATGGATTTAATTTATGTCATTCTTTGTCTTTTACTTCAGTCATCCTTTATTTTGTACATCAATTTTCTATGTTGATTTTGTCATATAAATGTGGATTGAATTTGTCTTAATTATGTGATGTATTGTTGTATTACTTCAGGGCAGAATCCAACTTTTTAGCAGTTTTCTCAGCTTTGAACTTGTGTGATTTTTGTTTTATTTTTCTTTTTGTGCAAATCGGGAAAAACTTTGGTACATTTTTGTGAAAAAGATTTGACGATCAAGAACGACTGGATAGTGATTTAAAGTATAAATCAGATTCTGCATTTTTGTGGTAAGAAAACCTAGAAAAGTTTGAGAACTTGCTATTTTCACAAGTTCATAGTTGATATTTATCTGGAAAAGAATATACTGGACTTTTCATTTTGGGTTTTCTTTATTACATGGAAGTCTCCACTAATATCCCATGTTTGGTGCGGCATTAAAAAGTGGTAATGGGTGGCCCTGTCTGGTCGGCCCAGCCGTAAAAAGTAGTGCCTGGGCCACAGGGGCTAGGGCCCAGTGCAGGCTCAGCCGGCCTAGACTTGCCATTTTTTTTTTTTCCTTGTTTTTTCTTTTATTTTCTCTTCATTTTTTATTATAGGGCTGGGCTTTTCCTTGATGCGCTTAAAATTTGCACTAGGATGGAATTATAAAGCCAATAACAGGGCCTGGGGTTCAAGTTTGTTGCGGAGGCTATAATTCTCAAAGCCCACAAGGAATAACAATTTCGTTTTCGGACTGATTTTTCATAAATTGTAATTTAACATAACTCTTTTTCTCTTCTAATTTTAATTAACTAAGTTTGGATATGAATCGAGATGGGATAGACATTGGCTGGTCTTCTTCTCAGATTTCGCATGTAAACAATAAGGTACTAGTCCACAACTGGTGTGATGCACTAGTGTAACTACATAAAATTGAAGGAAAATTGATCGAATTACTGTTGAGGGATTAACAATTTAACACTTCTCCGATATCTTTTGATTTAACTTTAAAATACTTATAAAAAATACAAGATCTTGACATTGGAATACTTTCAAAAAAGTTAAATTGTTGAGTAATTTATCTTTTGAGTATTTTGATAAACTATGCCTTTTTAATGTTGCTTTTAAGCTAAAATAAATTATTATTTATTTAGTATAACCCAATAATAAAAATTATAGTAAAATGTCAAAATATAAAATATCATTTATTTTTATTGGAAAATATCGAATTTAAAATCATTTTATTTTAATAATTTAAATTCATAATATATGGAAATAAAATTTGTTATTAGAAATCTATTATACCAATATAACTTATTTTTTAAAATCCTCTATTCTACAAATTTTAAAAAGAAGGTCAAACAATAAAAATGTCTATTTTAAAAGTAGAGATTTACGAGGTGTACTTCTTATTTATTTAAAAATAATAAGTTATTAAAAATAGACTCAAAGCATAGGTGGTCAGGGTGGTGGATGCCACAACATGATGTTTTAAGTTCCATTATTGTAACGGTGAGTGACCCCTTCCCTACTAATCTACAAAAAAATATATATTCAAAAGCTTATCTCATTCATACTCTTTGAAAGAAACTTCGTTACAATAAGAGGTCCTTACCTTACAAAGAGGAGTTTGCTTTGTGTAAGGATCCAATGAAAATGCATGTAAGATCTAATGAAAATGCATGTTCTCCACTATCTATTTTTATTGAATGTATAAATTTGAAGTCTTTTAAGGCTGCTAAAAAAGTAATATGTCTTTTAAGATAATATTAAATCTACATCGTTCAAATAAAATAGATAATATAGATTAGTGCAACCTTACTTCTACAAGTAAGGTTGCGACCTTATATAATTTTTTTCTTATAAGGAAAGAGTTATGCATAAAATTACATTGTTTATTAGTACTAAGGAATTTCTTACTTCATAAGGAGGGATGAGAAATCTGAAAGTAATGTTAATTCATCATCATAATCATCTGAATCTCATTTCAACTATTTGGGACCAGTATCTATCATTTTACTTTATCAATGCTAATACTCTCAATTAAACTATAACTCATGGTATCCTTTCTCATTACTTCCATCAATGTCCTTTGTGGCTTTTTCCTTGTTCTTTTAGAGCCTTCCATTTAACCAAATTATCCCTCCTAACCGGTGTTGTTCTAGGTTGACGTTGCACATACCACAAAAGTCTACTTTCCCTCACTTTTGCATCTATTGGAGCTACCTCTAAGTTTTCTTGAATGTATTCATTCCGAATTGTCTTTTTGTCTTACCACTCATCTATCTCAATATCATCATCTCAGCTACACACAATCTATGGATATGTTCTTCTTGACTATTCATTTTTTTTTTGACAATGTTATGGGCTTTTATTAGATAAGTACTTAAAAAGCATGAGATTGTAAAGAAGGTATAAAAGCATTACAAATGAGTGGTGAAGGTACAAGAATTCCATGCTTAGCAAGGCTATCCATTGCTTCATTATCTTCACGTTGTGAATGGCAAAACGAAACTCGTAGTCTCAGAGAAGCACAAAGATTGAGTGTTTTAATCGAGAGTAAAGACCAAGGGACCTTCTGCTCCTGCCTGCACCATTTAACAACATTCAATGAAAAAGGTGTTATCCCCATTACCTAGCCATCTATTGAACCAGAAAAAGGTGTTATCCCCATTCTTAACTAGCCATATGATATTGCTCATGATTATATTTTTGCAACTGAAAATAGCTTTCCAAATCTGTGAAGAGAATTTACACCTCTACCTTTCTTGATAGAATTAGATATATGATCGTGACCATATTTAGCAACGAAAACATATTTCAAAAGATGGCTTGAATTCTAAAAAATTCTCCACCACCATTTGGACAAGGGAGCCCAATTCATGAGTTTCAATTTTCAAATACCCAGATCCCCCAGCTTAGTTGACATACAAATCATATCCCATGTCACAAGATGAAACTTTTTCTGAGTATCATCCACATTCCCCCACATGAAGTTATGCATGTATTTTTCAATAAGCTTAATAACTTCACTGGGCATTGGCAGGATAAGCATCAAATATATTGGCAAATTCGCATAAGTAGATTTGACCAAGGTAATAGGACAACCCATCGACAGAGTTTTGGTCTTCCACATATCTAATTTAACTTGATATCTGTGATAAGAGGATCCCAAACTGCTCGTGTAAGCTTTGAGTCTAAGATAGAAACCCTAAGGTATTTTATAAGAAACTTATCGACTCTACAACCAAGGATAGAGGAAAGAGAATCCATCTGGTTGTTGAAACAAGAAATACACACGATCGAAGTCTTATGAAAGTTAACTTTAAGACCGAATGTTAGTTGGCAATAAAAGGGAGAAGTACTCAAATTCTTAACTTGGTCTTGATTAGCATCACAAAAAAATCAAAGTGTCATTTGCATATTGCAGATGAGAAATAACTAGCCCGGAAGTGGAAACTTGGAACCCCTTCAAAAGGCCAACCCCCACAATAGTTTTGAGCATCATACTGAAGCCTTCCGCTACTAAGGTGAAAAGAAAGGGTGAAAGCGGATCTCCTTGTCTAATGCCTCTAGAAGCTTGAAAGAAACCTTTAGGACTGCCATTGATGAGGATAGAGAAATGGGCTAAAGAAATACAACACCCAGTGATCTAATAAATCCATTTAATCCCAATCCCCATTTTTCTCATAATTTCTTGAAAAACTTGCCATTCTACTATGTCAAATGCTCTCCATGTCTAACTTGATAACTACTCTCGTCAACTTCTTTCAATGAATGCATTCATGGGCATTCAAAATGCTATCTGTAATCATACGATCTTGGATAAAGGCAGATTGCTCGCCAGAGATCACAAATGGAAGAATAAGTTCAGCCTTTCAGCAAGAACTTTTGCAATGATCTTGTAAAGACTAGATAATAGGCTAATGGGCCTAATATTTCCAATTTTAGCAATGATATATTTTTAAAAAATTAAAGAAATATAGGTCGAGTTTATATCTTTAAGCACTTTACCACTACCCAAAAATTCCCTTACCATAAGATCAACATCTTTTTTGAGAAATTCCAAAATTGGTGAAAGAAAATTAAAAGAAAATTATCTGGGATAGGGGCTTTGTCCCTCGGAAGAGCAAAAACTACCTTATTGACGTCCTCTTCAGTAACTTCCTTTTCAAGCTCCATAACAAGATAAGGAGGCAAACTCTTGAAAGGTACACCATCCAAATTAACACTAAACTGGAAGTCACTAGAGAATGACTTCTCTAAATGACTAATAATGGCGTTATCCTTACCTAAGGAGTCACCCTCTAGAACTCCAGGCATATTCAAAGCGGAGATGTCATTTTAGCTTCTGCAGGCATTCACAATTGCATGGCAGAATTTAGTATTTATCTTATTTTCTTTGAGCCATTTGAACCTAAACCTCTGCCTCCAATAAATTTCTTCCATTATGAGATAATAATGCAACTTATTTAACAAAGTATTCTTATTGATCACCATCTCTTCCAAAAGTAATTGATTTTCTTGAATAAAGTTCTCCAACATTTGAATATCATCAAGAGTAATGATCCTATAGGACCCTCCCCTACCCATATGTATAGGACTCCAAAGGAGCACCATTAAAGTTAGCATGGATCTCTAGAAAAGTTATCATATGGGTGTGGGACTTGATTTTTCTATAGATCCATGTCAAATTTAATGATGATTCTTTGGGGTCCTACACACATGGGTGGGGGCTACACAAATAGGTGAGGGAGGGTCCTATAGGATCATTTCTCGATCATTAAAGTGGTCTCTATCTTTCTTTTAATTTGATACTTAGTTTATTTCTTCCAAGCAATAATTTTATGCTTAAGGCAAATTAGTTTTTTTGTGAAGGATAAATGCAAAGCTTCCATGAACAAAACAACTGACCCATGTTTGTTTGATGATGTCAATAACATTAGGTTCCTCAAGCCGGTTTCTATCCAAACCAAAAGGTTTCGGCCCAACTATAATATCCTTAGTATGGAGACAAATAGGCAGGTGATCACA